AACCTACCTGGTGACATGCGTAACACATGTCCCAGGCAACGTAATCTATGGAGGTCGACCACTTGCTCCAGTGGGCGACCGCGGATATCCAAACTCTGCCCCTAACCTCAGCATTTCTCATCCGGATATCCCACCTGACACGTGCAATGCTGCGCAACCTCAGCATTGCTCGTCCGGCTGCCCCACCAGATTCGTGCAATGCTGCGTAGACAGCGATTTTCAAACACCGACAGTCTGTCTTTATCTTGTTTTCTTAATGGCCAAGTTTCTGCACCGTAAAGTAGGACTGGCCGAACTGTCGCGGCATACACTCGACTCTTCACAAGACAGCCGGATGTCGCGACGGCGCCACAGATGTCTCAAGTTGGCAAATGCCAATCGAGCTCGGATGTCGCGACGGCGCCACAAATGTCTCAAGTTGGCAAATGCCAACCGAGCCTTTTGTGTGTCGCGACGGCGCCACAGATGTCTCAAGTTAGCAAATGCCAACCGAGCCTTCTGTATGCAAGCTGACACTTCATCCCTGATGCCTCCACCGGGTGAGGTGTAGCTGCCCAAATAACAAAAATTATCTACCTGCTCTATTACTTCCCCAGTCAGAGTGGGTTTGGTGCTGGATCAACCCAGTCTTGTAGTAACATTTTACACTTTGAAGGTGCAAAACGCATACCGAACCTGGTTACACTAGCATTCAAGTTAGCCAGAGATGCTTGCAACTTACAGTCTGCCTCCTGGGAGCAAACCGATACCGCTATCCTCGCACGAGGATAGGGCTGTTTCCATAATCAAATCTATAACAAAGTTGAATAGAAATGGAGAAAGAGGGCAATCCTGTCGAACACAACTTTCCATGGTGTACTAGGGTGAAAAAGTGCCGTGAGCCCGGACTCGACTTCGGCTATTAGTATAAAGCGATGGTAATATTAAAATTAACTTCTCAGACACACCTTTGAGAAAAAAGGCAGCGCCAGAGTTTAGAGCGGTCGACTGAGTCGAAAGCCGCTTTCAGATCCAAGAAGACAGAGATGGTGGGTCTACGAAAAGAATGCCGGTGCTCCAAAATTGGGCGCAGAGNTGAGAAAAAAGGCAGCGCCAGAGTTTAGAGCGGTCGACTGAGTCGAAAGCCGCTTTCAGATCCAAGAAGACAGAGATGGTGGATCTACGAAAATAATGTCGATACTACAGAATTTGGCAGGGAGAGTGAAGATGTGGTCGATACAACCTCGACCGGGCCTAAAACCAGCCTGGTTCTTACACGTGCACCGTTCACATGCGGCAGACAATCGACAGGGTATGATCCCAACGAGTAGTTTAGAGACGATGGTGATTAAACTAATTCCACTGTGTTTTTCACAAGGGGATCTGTCATCTTTCTTGTAAATCGGTATGCTCACCGATTCACACCATTCAGTTGGAACCGAGTGAACAGGACTAGAAGGAGAGATGAGTACGAGACAAAGGGGCAAGTGAAAGTTATTTACGGCACTTAGGTCAAATACAAACGAGTTGAGGTAGAATGTAGCATTGTGTAAGATTTAGTGCATCCCATGGAAAGACGCGGGCAGTATACCATTTGACTGACCAAATAAAGAGGTGAAATGTTGGTCAGGCTTCTAACTGGAGCCGGCAGGAGACCGGCATTCAGAGCTGCGGTCCCGTTGATGCGCTGAGATGCCGGCGGGGATCATAAACGTTGACTTATTTTAACGAAAATATTATCCTATCCACAATACGATGGTGCACCATACAGCGTTCAGCTTTGCTTATCCTCTGGCAAACTTGTTTCCGGCACCTCCAAGATCTAGAGCTACAGAATGACAAATGAAAACAAACCGAACATCTTTTTACTGCTTTTAACGAAAACCACTGGTTTCTATATTGTCCATGGCTATAAAGCAAGTTGTACTAATCAGACATGTTTTCGAGGTACGTAGTATACCGCTCAAGCATGAAATCCATGATTGAACCGCGACAAGAAAGCTCTAGAAAGTCCGCAAAGGATGGCAACAAAATTGGTAAAAGGTCTGTATAACAAGACATACTCCGATAGACTACAAATATTGGAACTCTACTCATCTCAATATCGCCGACTTTGGCATTGTGCAGAACATTCTAATCCGAATTCCACAAGGTGAATTTAACGAGTACAGCGTAAGCTGTACGGAGGAGTTGACGGCGTACATAAACGGGGTCGAACACTAAGGAGGCCCCAGATCTTTCTGCAAATGGATCGCGTGAAACTCCTTCCGAAAATCATCCTCGTGGTTCTTCTCTCACATTGTTGTACGCTGATGAAAAAGCGTCTAGGGAAGTCGCAATGATAACTCAGACACTCTGAGAGAGAGATGCATTACTTTGTGGACGCAAGCAGTTTTCTATGGGGTCCGCTGTAATTTAGTGTACTGTGCACCAAAACACGGACAAGATCAATGAACACATCACACTCACCGCACGAAGCGTGCTGTCCCGACCGAAAAGATGCAGTCTTCGACGTCCGAGACAAAAATGTTCAATAATGTGAAATATTTCGGTCGGTTTATTCTTGGCCGCATAACCCCCATGCTTAGGAGCCTCCTCAATGATCAGATCGATATCAATGTTGGCGTGAATGAAATCACCATCGGTGGATCGTCGAACTGTGCCGTGTATGCCCATCAGACAGTGCTCCTTGGTTCGCTGAAACACCGCGCCCGGTTCCAGGGCTTCGTGACCCGGACGACCTCGATTTGTCTTGATCCAACAGATATCCTCACAACGACGAAAGCCCCATTTGCGAAGACACTGGGTACATGAAAGAAGGAAGCGAGAATGTGGATAGCAGCTAGCGAATAAGGAAGACGATTACGAATTTATAAAAGATAGGGTAAGACGATCTGTGATTGGATTCATACAGCAATTGGTCTAACTACTTCGAAATAGCACAAAACTATCCCTGAAGCGAGCAGAATAACGCTCCTGTATATCGAAACATGAGAGAAAATAAGACCCACAGGGTGTAGATATCGAATTTGACAAGGGATAGGTATTTTTTAATATCGCGAGATTGACTTCTAATATTGCGATGGCCGAACGGAAAAACCCAGTCATGTGCGTACGCACCATTCGCCAAGATCTCACCTGGACCTCGCATTTAAATTCTTTTTTTGTCAAGATTCGACGATTGTGTTTCTTTATCTCCTGCCTGCGTTCTTTGAAAGTTCTACTGTATTTACTCACTCAAATTGTATATTCTTGTGTTGTTATTCATCTTCTCTACTGCTCTCCAGTTCCATGTGCCGGTCTTAGAGTTAAAAATCACACAATTCTACGCTGGTCTATTAAAATTATTTCTCGCGCAAGCGGTATTCCTTATTTGCACTTGCTTAACTTTATCGCCGATAAACATTTTACCTCATGCGATAACTTCTGCAACAATGGTCTATCACACATCACTCACCCATTACACACAGAACTTAAACAATGCATATCCACTCCTGTAACTAGATGTCGTTAGAAACTGGTGTGTGCTCGTATCACTGCCTACCATTTGTTCGTCATCCCCTATCTTTCGAGATTTCTGGCTAAAAAGGTATCCGTTAAAGAAAACGTTTTGAATATCCTACACAATTGATATCCGTTCTCGAACTTTTATTCCACATTCCTTTGAATTTACGATGCTGTTTTATTCGCTCTTTTAGTGTGACTGTATGTGATGATAAATGATCCTGGAGTACAAGAAGCTGAGAATCCATCCATTAGGATGAATAAAGCGATTTTTGACTTGATTTGTTGATGAATTTATCGAAAAACGGCTTATTTCGCCTACCGGGTTTTGCTTTAACTGTGGCAATGGGCATTATTCATTCACTGATATCGTAAATTGTTTCTATTTTGTGTCTGCTTTCGTCAGTTATGGTGTGATTTTGCTTAATTGTTGTTTCTACTTAGACTCGCCTTTCGGGGTTCATGAAGTATACACTTTATTTGACTGGTTGACTGACTGAAAAGCTTAAGGGATCTAAAAAAACGAAGGTAAATCTTTTCCTTTGAATCCAGATTATGTGGGACGAGTAGTTTCGAAGCTTGTGTGCATAAAAATATCGTCATGAAACTTTTGTAAGAACGCTCATGACTTGAGCAGACAAAGGCCTGTTATCAGTGAGTGACAAAAACGGATCTGACGATTACTGACTCTAAGGTACGGGAGATCACTTACGAATGCACGATAACAGGGGCCGAGTTCAACACGTAATGGAAGATCATTGCATTTTTTGATGTTAATTACAAGAGATCGGGGTGCAGACCACTCGGTAAGTTTATTAACGCTGTCCTAGAGAGACCGAAAACTGTCTGGACTACGGAATGGGCAGCCAATCACAATATCATCAGCATACTTACAAGCAACTGCGAATGTGGAGATTCTGGTATGCACATAGAAATAAAGAAAGGGAACAAACCAGCACCCTGGAAAACAACAGAATGAATGATAATGGAAAATGACTGTGGCATTAAATGAAGTAAACTGGGTCCTACGGGAGAAGTAGTTGACTAGAACATTCAAAACTTCAGGTGTCAGACCACCATCATACTGGTTCTCCACATAAAAAAACCCTCCTCAGACCTGCACTGGTCTTGTGCATACATAACACCTGGAAGGATTACTTATTGCTATGAAGAAAGTGTACATGCAATCGCCTTCTGCTGTTCATCACAAAAGGAAAAGTGTTCTGACGCTCTTGAACTAATGTTACGAGGAAAAAGAATATCTGGTGGTAGCGCACTGCTGCCATAGTTTTTCACATCTAATATATTCTTGATTTTCATGAGAGCAAGAAGCATCATGATCACCGGATGTGTTGAACCCAACTATATTCCCTGGTAATCTCATCAGCTGTGCACATACATTTACATCACATTTGGTTAAAAGAGTGATAGGTTTGGGGACAGGCGAAAACACACAAGGGAAAATCAATCCATACGAAGAGATCAATGTTCGCTGCATATCAACGGCACTGCACGGAAATGGATATCCTAAAAACTTTAGTTCAACGTATGGAACGCCGTTGAATAAATCAGAACACAGTGACATCGCCTCAAGAAAAGCTGTTTTTGTCACCATACCGTTTTCAAAGTGATCGAAATGATAGGTGGATATAGCGCAGGTTGAAACAAACGATTTGAAGAACGCATAACGCTGCCTCCCCTATAATACTACACGAGACGAAGCGATGGATCGTTGAATCCAATCTAGACAAACCCGACCCTTCAGTTACTTCCTCCTGTATTTACCTATTTCAATATAATTGTGGTAGCAAGTACGTCGGGAGAACTGAGAGACGATTGTCTACCAGGATAGTACAGCATGCATCGAAACATTTGGCGTCTAACGGGTCCAAGCTTCCTTCCAGTTCTATCGCCCGACAAATACTGGATTGCAAAGAATGTGATAAACCTAGGGACATCTTTCGTGTCTTGATCAGCCAGAAAGGGAGCCGTTTATTACGGTTCACTGAAGCGGCCGTCATTCGACGTTACAAGCCCTATTTATCTAAACAGACCGCATTCGTGACTGGCCTCGCGCTGCCCTGGTAGGTATTACTGCCCTTCTCCTCTCCCCATCCTGCAGAGATTCCGGTCCCTGCTTCTATACCCAAACCGGTTCGTATTGATCGATTTCCCCTTGTGTGTTTTCGCCTGTCCCCAAACCTATCACTCTTTTAACCAAATGTGATGTAAATGTATGTACACAGCTGATGAGATTACCAGGGAATATAGTTGAGTTCAACACATCCTGTGATCATGATCCATCTTATGGCTCTCGTGAAAATATTAAAGGGAACTGGTTGCATAAAACGTTCTCGATTGTTTGCTANAAAGTTGTTGCTTATGTGGTGGAAATAGAGTATAATCTGCAAGCAATATTCTAACTGGATGTCAGTCCGGATAACAATAACGCGTGTGATGATCGAGCATGATGGCTTTGTGTCTTACGGCAGCATGTGACGGGTATAAGCAATTACTCAGGCTTCAATCACCCTGATGTCAGCAGAGCATGACCCGTTATGACTTTCCGGGAAGAGGAGGAGGACAAACGCGCGCGCGCACACACACACACACACACAGACACCAACGGGTAAGATATACGGCCAAGAACTGTCATGGGATTGG